TATGTATGTATGTATGTATGTATGTATGTATGTATGTATGTATGTATGTATGTATGTATGTATGAATGTGGAGGAGTGTGCGTATGTGTGTGGGTCCAAGCTGCCGGTGTTAGTTGAGGTAGTCAATTGGCTCCTTCGGAGTGTCGGAGAACGAGGCCTTTGTCTGTTGTAGGCAGCTGTGGAATGGCGAAATGTTGGATCTGTTGTGTCGCTTCGAGACAAAGGCACTCTATTCGCCGGTCTTCTGTCGGCACGACAATGTGTCTGTCTGTGTGTCGGCAGTAGGCTTTTGCTGGCCTCCGTCTGCGTGAACCCTCAGGCTGTACATGCTTACATGCAGGCGTGTCTGCAGTTCTCGTTCACTTGGTCTCGTGTTGAGTTGTTGCCAGTTGTGCCCTTGTGAGGCTTTGGAGTGCTGGCGAACCCAAGCTCCCGGAACGGCCATATCCACGTCCAGCTGAGGCGCCCGGGCAAGGAGGACATCTTCCGTCTGCAGATTCCGTGTTTTCGATCAAGCCAGTAGGACTTTATTTCTTCGACCAGCCATGACGGAACAGTGAGTACTGAATCATTGTAATTGGCAAAAGAAAACATTTTTCTCAGTGCTAGCAGAAATGATAAAATTTGACCAACCTATAGCCCAACTTAGTTCCAATTACCAATCACTTCATATTGGTTGCGCAGTCGACATGTCGTAGTAAGTTGTTTTAGTCCACTAACGACACCCGATCAAACACAAGTACAATTAAGAGTACGGTTCCCGGGGCGTTGGGTGGCCTACAGTTCCAATCTGGATAGCATTGAATCGGTGACTTGTAGCAATGAGTCCACATGCTGATCTTAACCTCAAATGGGTATGCTTGTCTGTGTGTGTGTGTGATCGGTGTAATACAATTTTGCTGGACCCTAATAGGCTTAGAGATTGCTTATTTTGGCATGAGTTTTCATATTGAAAGAAAGTTGGAAAAAATTCGTTAATTGGTCTTCCTGAAGGGCGAAAGAGGATTTTTCGTTAAAGTAGATTTTCGAGAATAACTGCAGATCATGCATATGAGATATATTAAGTCTATTTCGTTTCAAGTGACAAAGGACTGGTAGTTCACCAGCTACTAGAAGACAAACTTTAGAGTGACAAACCGGAATTAACGAAAAAAAGTAACCAAACATATAATATGCCCTGATTTCTCGGCTTATTGTATTCGGTACATTTTATCGTAAATAATGGTGTCTCCCTCTATGACGAAAGCTTAGCCCGGGTTTATCAGGGTCACAATTTTTTTTGATGTACCTCCAGTAATCTGTTCCTGTGAAATGCTGTCATATCATAATAAATCTCCAATTGAGTATTTTTGAAAGCCAGACATAGAACTTCTTAGAAGTGAGTTCGACCCACGGTTTCATCTCCAATGAAACCAATGGAAAAGTCAGAGCCCGCGATTGCCCTTGGCTACATCAACCATTTTCATTATATTCCTGTGCATATCTTTATATTGTGAAGCCTACTACCATTTCGAGTGAGAGTATTTTGTGAAGGGATTCGAAGGGCGATCCCATCAGAAGACGATGGCGGCTCGATTTGACCAGCTTTTGATTAGCTTAACTGGAACACTCTTGTTGACGCTGTTTCCGAGGCAATCTCCTAGGTCTCCGGCGAAAAGTTAGCAAGTTTTCGCCCGTCGTATGATGGAGATGATCAGAGCAGATTGTACCATTCCTACAAGCATATTCAGGCAAGCGAGTTGAAAAA